CAATGCAATTTTTGAAAAATCTCACAAGTGGGGGAAAAGTGGAAGGATCAAATACTAAAACCTCTATATCTAAGAAGACGTCCAAGAAAGATCAATTGACAAAGATGAGTGAGGATATGGAAAAATTGAGCAAGAGACAAGATGACAAGAGGCTTGGATGACTGTGCAAACTCCAAGAATTCTAATCTCCAATGAGTGGTTGATCTTCTCTCTTTCCAGTCCGAAATCTCCAAGAATTCTCACGCTGATCCTAAAACTAACTAAAGACCTTTATTTATAGTGCTAGGATTTGTGGGTCGAATAGGGAAAAGTCTAATTCAATTAAAACAACTGAAATTCAGACCAAGCTTTACACAGCCCATACAGGCCCGCTCTACATCACTACAGCGTTAGAAATGGTCACTATAGCGATGGTTCTTCTCATCCAACAAGTCTGAAATATTCAAAATTTGACAAGATCATAAAATTAGAATTGTAACTCTCTGAATAAACTATCCAATGCCACAAGAATCATCCAATTCTGAGTTCTACAGCTCAAGTTATGATCAAAACACTAAAGCATGTTCATTCTTGAAGAAATTCCAAGATTCGAATCTCATATTCAAAGATCCATAACTTTCTCGTTTCGATTTCGATTCTTGATCCGCTTGTTCCTAGTCATCACTATTTCCGTCGCCAACATTATGCTTCATTCGAATATCATTTATGGCTTGAAAATACTCAAAATACACATGTGATCCCATAAAAGGTATTTATGAAATAATTAACTCAAATTTCGCAATTTAAACTAATTTTCCCACAAATAATCTAAAAAAATCACTAACTAAACACGTATTTTCAAGCTCTTATCAACTAGCTGCAAGAGGTTTATGTGCCTATGCTAACAGAAGAATGCATAAAAAGAGAAGTTTATGTTAAGCACTTCCAAGCCTTTTAAAATTTTTAGAGAAACTACTTTGCAGATGCAACCTTACTCGGGAATTTTGAACAAGGTCACAGGCAATAAGACCCCAAACTAGTACTCAAAGGCAGAAAGATTAAGCTCACCTCATTTTGCGGAGAACATTGGACATCTCCTCTCTCTTCTTCTTCACTCTCTTGTGGATGCCCAACTTTCTCTTAGCCACCTTAAGTGCACGCTTATCTTTTCCTACCTTCAGAAGCTTAGTGATCCTCTTCTCATAGGGAGCAAAACCTGCAACTTCCCTTATGACATTCCTCACAAAATGTACCCTCTTGCTTGTTTTCTTCATATAAAAACCAACAATCAAAATTGAAAACCAAATTAGCACCCTAAAAAAGCATCAGCAATTACATTTCACTTTCATCAACTAACATTATGTATTAACATTATTACACTATTCACTTGCCACTAAATCACAAAACGCACTCTCTTGCTCACAAAATTACAATATTCACTTGCCCTTACGACATTCCTCACAAAATGCACCCTCTTGCTCGTATTCTTCATATAAAAACAAACAATCAAATTTAATAACCAAATTAGCAACCCAAAAACCATCAGCAACCACATTTCAGGTTCACTAACAACATTAAGTATTCACATTATTACACTACTCACTTGCAACTAAATCATTACACAGCTTAAATATCAAGCTAAGAAATTCAACAACCTATAACACAAACTTATGGAAAAAACGTTTTTGCATAATAAATTCATTTAGGAATAAATTATTGCGCAGATGCTTCGAAGTTCATCCTACCCCCTTACGATGAGAAGGACGAGGAGGCAATTCATGCTTGGTAACATTGTGGACTTTGTTTAATCTAACAAACAGCCCACTTTTGGGCTGCGAAGTTGTTGGATTATTCAATTTTTGTATATAGTTGTATTATTACTGTTGCTGTTAAAGTAGTTAAAGTGTAATTAGTTAGTTGACTGAATTAGTTAGTTTGTTAAAGTAATTAGTTAGTTGACTGAACTATAGTTAACCAATTAACTATAGTTAATTGAATGTAATAAATTGGTGTACAGTACTTGATTTTTCACTTGAGCTGAATTAGAAACTTTACTCTTCTTCTTTGAAACCTCTTCTCTGATCAAAATAAAACATGGTATCAGAGCAGTTCATCAAGCTACGAAATCACCATCTCTTTTCAAGAATTTATCTAATGTTGAAAGGAGAGATCATATAGTTGAGGATTGGTTTTTAATTCAACAATTGCTCAAGTTAGGTTAGTCTTATGCAAATCAATCGATGATTTGACGATTGCTCAATACAAGTGAGTTCTCTGTAAATTGTTTAAAGAAGTGATTTAGAGCAAGCGAAATGGGGACAGATTCAAGCTCGCCTCTTTACATCCATCCTTTTGACACTCTTGGTTCAATTTAGAACTCTGAACAACTCATTGGAATAGAGAACTACGGAATATGGAGTAAAGCTATGATTGTGTCTTTAAAAAAGAAGAATAAACTAGGATTTGTGGATGGTTCTTGTGAGAAATCGAGCTTCAATCAATCGTTACATGCACAATGGGAGCGATGTAACTCCTTAGTGTTAACATGGATTTTTAACACTATCTCGAAGGTTATATTCAATAGTATCGTGTATTCGAGTAGTGCATATCAAGTGTGGCAGGATTTGAAGGAACAGTATAACAAAGTTAATGGTGCAAGAGTTTTTGGAATTCACAGAGAAATTGTGAATTTGGTGCAAGGAACCAACTTGGTTGTAGTGTATTACAACAAACTCAAAACCTTATGGGATGAATTAAGCTCGTTAGTTAGTCTGCTAGCACCAGACAATGAATAAGCTAAAGCTTATTTAGCACATTTGAATCAGCAGAAGCTACTACAGTTCTTGATTGGGCTAAATGACTCATATAGTTTAGTAAGAAGTCAAATTTTGCTGATGGCTCCTCTACCCTCGATGAAACAGACATACTCAATTGTTAGACAAGATGAGAGTCAAAAGATCCTCACTGGTTTCAATCATAGCACAGAAGTCACTACTGCGTTATACTCGCTGGGAAACCAGAGGAATCAAACTCATAACACAAAATATAAGGGAAAGAAAACCCTATATTGAGTGTGATTATTGTCATTCTCCAGGACAAGGAAGAAAATTGCTATAAGCTACACGAATATCCAGCGAATTTTCAATTCACTAGAGGAAAATCAGGGACGAAGGCTAAGGCTAATCAAACCCAATCTAACCAGAAATCTGTTCCATAGACTCAAATCGTGAATCCAGAATCTGGAGCTAATCTTGGAAATGTGTTGACACTATAATAGTATGCACAGTTGTTACAATTGTTGGGCAAAGAGAACATCTTGACAACATCTGCAAACTTACCAGGTAAAACCATCTCTTTATACTCTAGTTTCAATAATGAGGATTGGATATTAGATTCAGGGGCCACATATCACATGACCCATAATTTTTAGAGTCTTGAATTTACTGTTGCTAGCCAATCACCTATAGTAAACTATGTAGGACTTCCTAATGGCATAAAAAAACCCCCACTAAACATGTTGGTTCAATGAAATTGCAAGAACACTTGTGTCTTGATAAAGTTTTGTTCTTACCAGATTTTAAATACAATCTTCTGTCAGTGTCTAAATTGACTTCATCAGGTAGATGTTTTGTTACATTTTATCCTGATTTTTGTGTTATTCAGGATCTGTGGAAGGCAAACTAAAGGGGATTGGTAAGCAATGCCAAGGGTTATACCGTTTTGTTCCTAGTTCACAAATAAAATTGTATAGTTCTGTTTTAGGAATAAAGGAAGTTGTTTGTAAGCATTCTTCTGATTTAGGACTTGAAACAATTGTCAGTAAACAATCAAAGGTACCTACTGCTTCTATAATAAAGAACCCCTATTTGTCATCAGCTTTATCTACTACCTTGCATATTAAAGATATTGTCCTTTGGCACAAAAGATTAGGACATGCACCACTTTCAGTTCTCAGAAGGATATATAATACTTTACCTGAACAAAATGATTTCCATTGTGATGTTTGCCCCTTAGCTAAACAAATTAGGTTGCCCTTTGCATCAAGTGATACAAGTTCCCTACATGTTTTTGAGTTATTGCATTTAGCCAAACACCTAAATGTATAAGGATTGACAATGGGTCAGAATTCTTTAATCATCAATGTCAGGAGTTGTTGGCTAGTTTAGGAATCATACACCAAAGCACCTATGTATACACTCCACAACAGAATGGAGTGATAGACAGAAAGCATAGACAAATACTAAACATAGCTAGAGCTTTTAAATTTCAGTCTAGTATCCCAAATTATTTGTGGGGTTATGCTGTCAAGGCTGCCGTGTACATCATTAATAGATTACCTACAAAAGTCTTAGATGGTCTGTCACCGTATGAAAAATTTTATGGAACTGCACCTAAATTAAATCATTTAAGGGTCTTTGGCTGCTTGGCATATGCTACCAATTTGATTATTCATGATAAGTTTGCTCCAAGATCCACACCTTGTGTTTTCCTTGGTTATTCTCCCACAAAAAAAGGGTTATATCTTATATGATTTACACACTAAATCCATTTGCATTAATAGAGATGTAGTCTTCCATGAGCACATCTTTCCTTTCACTTAGCATCCTTCTAACAAACCTATTTTCTTGGATTCCTTTATGGCACAAGATTTTGATAATTCTGATCCTATTTTAAATACCTATCCTAACAATGCAAGTATCATGCAAGACACAGAACCAACAGATTTTTTGCCATCATCCCATCTTGATGTATTACCTTCACATAATGATTTTGTCACTGATTCATCTGCTCAACTTAGAAGATCCAGTAGGACAACTAGACCACCTATTTGGACCACATATTTTGTTTGTCCAACTTTACCTCAATCCAATTTGATAGTTGCCACTCCATATCCTATACACAACTATATATCCTGTAAACACTTGTCCCCCACCTACCAAAAATGCCTATCTAGTATTTCAGCTCTTACATAACTTACTTCCTTCACCCAAGCATCCAAAGATTCCCAATGGATTGCTGCAATGCAACAGGAAATTCAGGCCTTAGAAAGAAATGGGACTTGGTCCTTAGTTCCCCTGCCTCCTGGAAAAGTACCAATCGGTTGTAAATGGGTATATAAATTGAAGTATAAAGCAGATGACACTCTAGAAAGGTATAAGGCAAGACTAGTTGTCAATGGCTTTACACAACAAGTTGGGATTGACTATGAGGAGACTTTTTCTCCTGTGGTTAAGATTGTTACTGTTAGGCTTGTGTTGGCTATTGCTTCCATGAAAAATTGGCCACTTTATCACATGGATGTTGACAATGCATTTCTTCAAGGAGATCTATAAGAGGAAATATACATGCACCTACCTCAAGGATTTCCTAAGCAACATGATACCTCTTTGGTTTGTAGGCTACACAAGTCTTTGTATGGCTTGAAGCGAGCCTCTAGAGCTTGGAATACCAAGCTCACTACTGCCTTAATGAAAGGAGGATTTCAACAACCACCATCAGATTATTCCTTCTTCTTTAAGAAGGTTACTAGTCATATTGTCATTTTACTCATTTATGTTGATGATTTAGTCCTTACTGGTAGTGATTCTTCACTTATCCAAGCTACTGAAGATCTATTGCATTCCCATTTTAAGTTGAAAGATTTGGGTGCTCTTAGATATTTTTTAGGATTTGAGGTTGCAAGATCTTCCAAGGGGATTAGCTTATGTCAAAGGAAATATGCTTTGGAGTTAATTGCTGAGTCAGGACTGGCTGCTGCCAAACCTTCTTTGGTTCCACTTGATCCAAATCTCAAATTCACTACTACGGCATATGATGAGCAATTTCCTAGTCTACAGGATTCTGTCTTGCCATATCCATCAATATACTAAAAGCTAATTGGTAAGTTGCTTTATTTATGTTTGACCAGACCTGGCCTTAGTTTTATAGTGAATCCTCTCAGTCATTTTATGCATCAGCCTAAGGAGTCTCATCTTTAGGCTGCTCTAAAGGTTGTAAGGTATGTCAAACACTCTCCTGGTTTGGGTTTATTCTTTCCTGCTTATGGTTTACTTCAGTTACAGGCCTTTTATGATTCAGATTGGGCTTCTTGCCTTATGACTCGTGAATCTATTATTGGATTCTATATTTTTTTGGGAAGTTCCTTGTTGTCATGGAAATCAAAAAGGCAGGCTACTGTTTCTTGGTCCTCTTTTGAAGCAGAATATCGAGCTATGGCCACCACTGTTTGTGAAATTATTTGGTTGACACAGCTCTTGAATGACCTAGCTCTTTCACTTCAGCTGCCAATTCCACTCTGCTATGATAATAAATCTTCCATTCATATTTCTTCCAATCCGGCCACTCTGCTATGATAATAAATCTTCCATTCATATTTCTTCCAATCCGATATTTCATGAGCTTACGAAGCGTATTAATATCGACTGCCACATTGTGCGTACCAAGATCAAAGAAGGGTTGATTTTTCCTACTCATGTTTCTACTCATGAACAACCTGCGGATCTGTTTACTAAGGCTTTTTCTGGCCCTGTTCATCGACATTTACTATCCAAGTTAGGAGTGATTAACATTCATCACCCGCCAACTTGAGGAGGGTGTTGTATTATTTAGTTTTTGTATATAGTTGTATTGTTACTGTTGTTGTTAAAGTAGTTAAAGTGTAATTAGTTAGTTTGTTAGAGTAGTTAGTTAGTTGACTGAATTAGTTAGTTTGTTAGAGCAATTAGTTAGTTGACTGAACTATAGTTAACCAATTAACTATAGTTAACTGAATGTAATAAATTGGTGTATAATACTCGATTTTTCACTTGAGCTGAAAAAGAAACTTTACTCTTCTTCTTCGAAACCTCCTCTCTGATCAAAATAGAACAGAAGGAGCCATCACCTTCGCAAAACATCATATTCTTCACCACACTATTGACATGCAACAATTATTCACTGATCACTGTCACTCTCTGCTATAGGAACCTTTGCAGAAAAATCATGTTTAGGGGTTAAGAAGCTTTTGAAAGTGAAAAGTAAAGGGGAAAAATTAATGTAAAATTAGATTTGAAAGTACCTTAGGCGTAAATTTCTGCAACTAACCGAGCGGCCGGCCACCGAGGAATGAAGGGGTAATGTTTCAATGCGTACAAACCCTTGCTTTGCATTTTTACTTTTTATGAGTGTTTTTGAAAATCATATGTAAGTTGAGAGGCAACAAGGCATGACTATTCTAACGAATGGGCCATGATATTATTGGGTCTTTACTCTTTAGAGAAGCCTGATAGACTGGATTATCTAGAGAGTAAAACCACAGGTCATGTTGGGCTTTTTAGTCAGAGAAAATTGAGATTAGACTTTAGGGTCCGTTTGTTTAATTATTTTTCCCTATCCTATTAATACTATTTCCAAAATACACGTTTGTTTCCTATTCTGAAAATACTATTATATTTTATTCAACTATTTTAAAACCCTTAAATTTATTAATTTAACTAAACATCCCCTGAAAAAAGTTTAGAAATTAACAAAAACACCCCCACCCACCCACATTTGCCAGATTCCGGCCACCACCGTCGGAAGGTAGCCGAAATCTGGTATAATGGCGCACTACCGGCTGGATCTGGCTGGTAGTGCGTCGATGTATCATTTACCGACCAGATCCACCGTGGATCTGGCCGGAAAAGGCCAGATCAATGGCCAAAGATCTGACCGTTGACGGTCAAATCTTTGGCTGTAGCTGGTCTTCAATGACGGCCAAGACTTGACGGCCATATCTTTGGCCATCGTTGACGACCAGATCTGAGCGTAGATCTGGCATTTTCTAGCCAAATCCACGGTGGATTTGGCTGGAAAAGGCTATCTCGACACACGACCGGCCAGATCCAGCCAATCGTGCGCTGTAATGCCAGATTTCGACAGTGATGGCCAGAATCTGGCAACTGTGTGTGGTGGGGGTATTTTTGTCATTTTACAAAAATTTTATATATTGGGATGTTAAGTTAAATTAGCAAACCTATGGGGTTTTTTTTGTTAATATTTAAATTTTACCTGGTAATAATCACCCAACTCTACTTACCAATTATATTTCAAAAATACTACTCAAAATAATAAAACAAACACACCCGAATTTTTGCAGGTTTGAAATCAAATTTTGATTCAATATTTCAATTTGATATCGGAATAAACCAAAAAAGTATTTGAATAAAGACAGCATTATCAAAAAGTTTGCGAATAACTATCTTTAAAAGGGATTGAGTCATATTTTATTTCAAAAGCTCTACTAGAATTACGAGGACCTTCTGAATTATATCAAATTAATTCTATTCCAATACCCTCTTTAATTTAGGATGGATTAAATTGAATTTTAAACGACTATCACATAAAATATGTGAAATCTAAGTGAAAGGAAAGAAAGGGTGTGCCATACATTAGCTTTTTACAGTGAATTTATAACCAAAAGCTCATGGTTTTTGTGGATTTTGGAAGAGATGAGATTAAATAGCACTAACCACCACTGAATTGTCTGATAATAAAAGAGTAAAAGGAGGTTATATGAGCTTTTGAATTTGAGTCTCTCCAAGTATTAATAAGAGTGATCACTAGGGTTCTTACCCGACCGATAATTCTCAGACTTAAATAATTAGTTGAGCTGCACGTCAACAGTTCCAAGACCCAAAATGATTAGTTGAAATACGTATAAACTGGTTTAAATACTCTAATAAAAAAAAAAAAAAAAAAAATCTCAAATTGCGCTCTTGTCAGGTAATCACAACATCATTCTTATGTGCTTCACAAGCCTTTGAATTACTGAACTTATACGTTTCTAAAACTCTTGGGATACAGTTATACTCTTATTGGTAGACCCAAAAATTGTTTAATGACATCTACTGCAAATCTTTTTGACAAAAGTGTAAAGCCAACATGAATTGCTAAAATTCATGAAAAAAGAAAAATAAAATTGCTGGGAGCACTAGTAAAACTCCACTTCTGTAAGTCACTACAAAACACAAAGCATGGATTGATTGTGTTGTCTACATGTACTTGAGACAACAGCTCACTATTCAAGATAAGTTCCCAGAATCTCCTGAACAAAAATATCATCAATATTATCTTCAAAAATAAAGAAATTGGGGACGTCAAGCACATTATCTGATGGTGTAAATATTTTCCTACCACAAATATTTATACAAATAATGTCAAACTGTTCCATCGTCCCATGCCTCTTGTCAGGATGAGACCATAACATTCTCTTATCAAAACTGTGTGCATTCAGACTGTGTGTTTTTATCTGCTTTCACTTTAGAGCTGTAATTAATTGACCAAAGAAGGAAATGGGAAAAGAAGAGAATTGAGTTGATGGCTTTGAGTGGTAACAAATGTGGTGAAAATCTAAGGAATCGGAGTTGTTGTCCCACAAAGAGGGGGAAAAGGGTTTATTTTTCTTTATTCATTTTTTTTGCAGTGAACGAGGAAGAAAAAGTTGGTAATCAAGTTCCTAAGACCGAAAGTTTACGTGAATTTAGAAATATCAAATTACTTGTAAAGAATCTAAATTGGACGAAAGAATTTGATTATTATTACCCGAAATCTCGGTGGGCGGGACCAGACTCCGAGACAACTTTAATACACACTTAAATAGATGGCCTTTAGCATTAAAAAGAATCAGTCTTTGACTCATTGCCACCACTTATAAGCCGCCACTGTAGTTGGTGGCGCGTGATATGGTCTCTGGGCTGTTCACATTTACTGATTTCAGATAGAGGTGGAAGACAAGCGATGGGTCAGAGAATGAGTTGCAGAAAAGGCCATGAACATGCATTGTTCAGTGCTTTGGAGGATGGGGACCTGCAGTTGATTGAGGCTATGGTGGAGACTGACTCAACTGTTTTGCAGATCACCAATGGTTATGGGAGACAATCTGCACTGCATTTGGCAGCTGCTTATGGGCAGATCGAGGTGGGTTTGGTTTATATTCGATGGATTTTGATTGGTATTTTCTTTGGTTTCTTTCTGTTTTTTATTAAGAAAATATTGATGGGATTTTGTGGATTTTGATCAAGGATAGGTTCTTTCTATGCTCTTGGATCGGTTCTTTTTATATACCAATCCAGATGTCTTAAATCGCTATAAACAGGCAATATTTCTTGTTTCCTTAAGTTTTTATCAAATCTTCAATTTGCATTCTGTCTGGTAATGCTTTCAAGTCTCTCTCATTGTATCTTTCGTCTGTGCTTTGAATATTTATATTGGTGATTGATTTATTTAGACCCCATTAATGGTGGCTGCAATGCATGGGAAAGCATCTTGTGTGAAGAAGCTCATTGAAAGTGGAGCATTTGTAAGCTTTCTTGTTAATCAGTTGTGTATATTATTTCGCTTCACCGTTTAGTACTCTTTAGTTCATAACTGGTTATGTTTATAATTTTATTAGATTCTGAAATTTGATTCTCTTCACGGAAGAACTTGCTTACACTATGCTGCATACTATGGGCATTCAGATTGCCTGCAAGCCATTCTTACTGCAGGCCGAACCAGTCCAATAGCCAATTCTTGGTCTCTCTCTCTTACTTTTCATCTGTGTGAGTTTGCATTTCGATGTGATCATTTCATGATAGAATTGGATGGCATTGGCAGGGGATTTGCAAGATTTGTAAACATAAGAGACGAAAGCGGCACAACCCCACTTCATTTGGCAGCACGCCATGGGTGGTCAGCATGTGTTCATAACCTCTTAGACAATGGGGCTCTTGTTTGTGCTTCAACTGGTGGAAATGGGTAATTTTACTTATCATTCTTGACATCTAGTTTATTTTGTTTAGTGACTGGTTCATTAAAATGGATTAGAGTTATATATATACAGCTACCCAGGGAGTACACCTCTTCATTTCGCTGCTCAGGGTGGTTCTTTGGAGTGTATACGGGAATTGCTAGCTTGGGGTGCGGATAGGCTTCAGCCAGATGCATTAGGGTGAGTCTCATGATCATCAGCAAGAAATAAAAAGCCCCCTTTTGGTTTTACCAACCAGCTATGACTTTTTTAAATAATTAAGATTGGCCAAAGTGAAATACCTTTGCCATGCTAGTTTTTGTATCTTGATTCTGAGAAAGTTTGCACATCTATTTTTTCTGAAAGATCATTTTGAAAGAGCTGAATTGAGGAACTAAAAATCGAATGCAAAATTACATGGCCACTTATATAATATACAGAACTTATTAGAGTACTTCAACCATGTAACATGAAGAACAAGACATAAATTTGTTAATACTTGCAAATTCTCATCAAAGCTGATCTTTGCCTGATTTAGTCTTTTTTAGAACTAAACAGGCCTATGTAAATCTTACCTTAATGGTCTTTATTATAATTTCTAAAATTTTCAGTGCTTTTCTTAGTGTGATGATATCATTTTAAAAACCCTTGAAGTCTTCCATTGATTTGAAAAATAAATAACAAACAAATAATAATAGTAATAATGGATTTTGCAGGAGAATCCTATGCAATTGCATTGAAGTACAAACACAAGCTTGTGCAGCCTTGCTGATCCTTCATCTGCTGAGCCTCTTGTCTGGCCCTTGCAATAAGATTCATGACTGATCTAAACCAGAGGCAAAGCACTACTAGAAAAGGCCTTGATGCAAAGAAACGAAGAGAGGGAGAAAGCCAATTTGAACAAGACAACCCACTCCCTCCATCGCCTTCACCTTCTGATGTTGAGGCTGATGACCATCCTTGAGGTGATATGTCTTAAACTTATTATTCATTTGAACCTTATATCCTGAAGTATAATTGTGCTCAGGGATATAATTTATATATGAGGTTTCCAACCAAGGTAAGTGCTCTCTTTGTTTCAGATAAAATGTGACTCGAAATTGTGCGTCAATATGTTACTTGAATGCTATTTAAGATTTCTAGCACTAGAAATTCTTTTGTGCCTCCAAATTTTTCTTTGGTATCAACATATTCGTATGCAGCTGTGCTTTTTCTTTCCTATTTACTTGTTAATTTTTCTCAAACAGGCCGTGATGTTGAGCTATGCTGCATCTGCTTTGAACGTGTATGCTCAATTGAGATCAGAGCATGTGCCATCAATATGTGTGCTCATTGCACCCTAGCTCTGTGTTGCCACAAGAACCCTGACTTACAACGGCTGTTCCTGGGGCCCCCACTTGCCCTTTCTGTAGATGCAGCATTGCAAACCTAGTTGTTGTCCAGATATCAACAATGCTACGGAGGTGGAAGTTAGTCCCTCCAAACCAGAGATCTAAGAAAATCCAGGATTCTGGTGAAGGCAGCAGCAGCTTCAAGGGTTTTCAACCATGGGCTCATTTGTTAAATAGGTGGTCAAATCAGGAAAAGTTGCAGCTGATGCAATGAAGCAACCGATAAGTTTTACAGATGGCAGCTGTGGATCCTCTTTCTTGCCTTTAAGTTGATAAAGTTGAGGGCATCATTACTCAAATCGCTTTGAAATACTCTCATTTGGTACAATTTTTCAAATTCATGGCATATGAACATGACAGAAGAAATGTCCAGCAAGCCGTTTGGACAGTCCTATTATCAGTGTAATCTGCTTCTCTTGAAATTGGAAGCAATAGAGTTTCCCAGGCTTTCCCTGCTCAATTCTAAATTTTGATATAGGGATAAAGCCGATTCCGATTGTTCAATAGCTACTGAATCCTTATAAAATTCTGTTAACTTTTTCTTTGAAACAAAACTGTAGGAAATCATAGTCCTACTTATCTATCCTTAATGTCCTAACAAAAGTTGGGACGTTTGGAATTAAAATTTTTCTTTTGAAATTGCAGACAAGTTTGTATGCTGTGATGTCGTCTAATTATTGAAGTGAATTGTCTGCTTTGAGACAAGGCATTAAGTTCATTAAGGATGACTTCACTGATTTAGCAAGGTGAGTTTAAGTGAAAGAAACCTAGAGAGTCAATTAAAATGTGAAAGAGAGAGAAAGAAAACCACCCGGAATTTTCAAAGACAACCTTAAAACTTTTGGTAAAATAAGCCAAGTATAAAAACAAACGAGAAAGAACTCTCAGGAGTTGAAAAAGAGCAAGTTCAATGAGAAATCATCATTCAATGAGTTGTCCTCGCATACATGAAAGGAACTCTAGATCCATTTCCATGTTCCAATAGTTCTCTGTTGGATCCTGTCTCACTGTCTGCACCTTATGAAGCATTTGAATGAGTTGCGATTTGGCCATCGGCAAATAGAGAATTTGGATTTGAAACTGATGAGAAATCATTAGATTCATAGATGGGTACGTTCTGATTCCTTCTAAAATTGCTGGCAGCTCTCCTTTCTGCTTCAAGAAAGTGACCAAGAGATGGAGTGTTGTTAGTGTTCACAGCATCAGTGGTTAGCTTTGAGCAGAGTGAAAACAACCAAGTTTTGGATTTGTAGTTCTTCTGGTCTCTTAAGCCTTCTGTTGCTCTTCTTCTCATCGATCTTCGCGAGAGCTCCAGAATGTTAGAAACACCAATGAGGCTCCCAAGCGTAATGCTCTTCTCATGGAAGAAAGAACCAGTGGACTGAAATGAAATCAAGCACAAAAAGATTTCACAAATGTTGTAATGTAATTCAGTTAATGCACAATTGGGAGACTGATTAAAGATAAATGGGAACAAAAAAAACAACTTAAAAATTTCTGTATGACAGTTTGAGTGATCTGTAAGCCCATGTTCTGGGACCCTGAGTTTTCTAGCAGGCCAGACCGCCTGACATACAACTTTTATAAATACATCAACAAGCGGGGGATCCAAGATCTTTTGGGCATCTTCCTTTTGTTGTCATTTTATGGAACATCATTGAGTATGAGAATGAGAAGAAGAACCACATTTCATATTTTAATTCTCTACGAGGAGGAGTGGAAGCAAACAACAGAACAATAAACACCATCATAATGGACCACGTGGAAAGAGTAAAGTGGGTTTTAATTTTCTTTTGCTGTTGTATGAAATGGACTAGGAAAACGAAAACAAAAACAAAGAGAAATGTTAGGTACACGACATTAATGTGAAGAAACACAGAAATTCATTAAGATCCGGTACACTTTCCAAAACGTTTTGGAAGTAACTGTAGACAGCTTAAAGAAACAGAAATGAGTTTAAGGAACTCATCATAATCATAGTTAAAGACTTCAATACAGGTAAGTAAAAAAAGGAAGAAGAAGTGACCTCAGTTTCAGGATCTGAAGAAGAATCTGTGAGGGAACTGGGAGAACCAGAGAGCAAAGTACTGAAAGAAACTGATCCGGAGATATTGCGGTTTCTTACAAACCCAACTCTTGAGTTCAGTGGTCTAAGGCCAAGAGGCCAACCATCTTCCTGCTGTCAAAATTTAACAAAATGGGTTCAGTGTCACAATCATAAACCTTTAAGAAAAGCAAAAGAGAAATTGAAAAGAAATGGAAACCTGTTGTTGTTGAGCCATGAATGATGAGTCCTCAGCTCCAAGAATTTGGAGAATTACTGAATGTAAATGTTTGATGTAGAAAGAAAACTCCAGCGAGGCTACAGTGGGTAAAGCAGTGTCACTTTCATCATCATTTCAAGCTCTATTCTAAACAAAAAGAACTGCAATATACCATAGCTTTTTTCACAGTCTGCTCCTCTCACATGCCGCTCAGCGGCACTGTAATTGGAGCAAGAAACGCTAAAAATATAAAGCAGAGAGAGAAAGTGAAAGTGAAAGTGACGTATTACCGTTTGTTCAATTTGGGCTTCCCTGGTTCAAGAGGCTAGAGGAAGGAGTGGAAATGGAATTATATTTTGCACCGGGCAGAGAGAAAGGAAATATGAAGGTTACAGCCTACACTTTTCCCAATATGACCAAAACATCCTCGTGTGAATAATTATGCCACCTGATTCTTAAATATTGACATTTGTCCCCACCAAATTTCACACATTTTCAACGTGATCAAATCATGGTTGTTAATATTCTACAATACGACTCGATACAGGTCGTCAATAATACGTATCAGAGAATGTATCATAAACCTTTCGATACGTTGATATATATCCTACAATACGATACGTATCCGTTTATATCCTTAAAAATATCGATACAAATCGATACAATTTTATTAATTTGGGTCAAAGGTCTTAAAAAACTTCAGGTCAAATCCAGGTCACCCAATCGAATTCACTAAAACATGTCCAAATTTATCCATTTTGCATGGAGAAAGTGAAAAGGAATATGTGTTGTCCATTTTACATGATAATAATAACACAAGTGGAGTTATAGATATTGACATTGATATTAGAAATGATATAGATTCTTAATTTTAATTATGTAATACCATAATTTAAAGTCAATAATACTATAAAATTTATTAATTAATCATGGGAATCATATTAATTTTTAGAAAAAAATTATTATTTTATTAATTTTTTTGAAAAATGCGTATCCTGCAATACGATACGATACGCGATACAAGATTCGAAAAATTATGTTTTCGATACATGATACGATACTGATTTGACAACCATGGTTCTAATAGATTCTAATCGAAGTTTTGTTTAAAAAAAATAATCTAACAAAAATATAATTAACGAATTCTGGTAATAATCACTAAACTTTTGTAAGCTTGTTTCGATCATAAATTTTGGAATAGAAAGGATTGATCTATCCTAATGTTTTAGCTAACTATTGTTTAAGTCCTGCATTTTATAATATTGGGATTTTTCTTCCTTAAAGTTAAAAGATAGTTTACATAATCTTTTAACTTGAGTTATTTTTAGATGGTTGAATAGTTTGATAGAGACTTTTGAGTGTATTACTCAAAAGGTTCTGAGTTTGAATTCTGATTGCTAATAAGGGTCTAGAGCTTTTACTTAGCTGATAATTTCAAGGTCTCGATAAATTAATTAAAATATATGTAAACTGATTTGAACACTCCTGATCATTAATTAAAAAAAAAAAAAAAAATTAACATAAAGACCCCATCCTACGTACCAATCACATTTAATG